AATAATCACCCATTTAAAACAAATCGAGCACGACATGACCTAAACAAATTAATCGAGTCTAATTGAACTCATCCGAGTTTGATCCGGCTCGAGTCGGGTCGATTCGAGCTCGAATTGGGCTCGAGGAGGTTCGATTGGATTGATTGAACGAGCTCGAGCACGCTCGAGCCAAAATTGAGGTCAACAAACGGACCCCCAACATATTCGGAGAACAATGGGTGAACCGTATATGTTGGCGTTGACCTTCCTAATTTTAGGAAGATACAACCCTAAGGTCGGCCAAATAAAGTCCTTAAGAAAATACAGTCAACTAGTGAGAACAAAATCAATAAAGAAATCTCAAAGGGCCAAGTAGAATTCAACGCTCACCTATGGGAAATATCTAGAGATGATACGGAAAGAAGGGAAATAATAACTCGAAAATCAAAAAAATATCAAAGAGAAATGATCAAAGGAAAACAGTAATCATAGGAAAATAATAGTAATCAAAAGTAATGGAATCATCTATCTGCCTGACCACATCGCAACAGCAGAATAGAGAAAAGCAAGGGGGGTCCCACATTCACCTGACCATATTCGCAACAGCGAATGAGAACAGCTCAATATTTGATAACATTCCGTCCTTGTTGTTGAAATTAATCAAGGAAGAATGTGATCCTTTTATTACTTGTAATTAGTTCTTTGTTCTTAATGCATTTCATTGCAATTCTTCAAAAAAAAAAAAGAATAGGTCAATTTGGTCAAATATGGTAAATTTGGTCAAACATTGTGACCCATGGATCACCATGGGTTCCATTGAGTTTAGGTAAGATTATGTAAGTGTTTGGAAGGTTTGGATTTCATGTCAAAGTTTAAAATTGATTAAATTAATAAAATGTATTATTTATATCAAATGGATCCCATATGGTCAACTGTGGTCCACCTTTAGCTTCATTAGGTCTAAACATGCTTAAGGAGATGTTTGAAGGTCATGGGATATAATCTTAGGGTTTAGGACTTAATCTAACCCAAGAAATTCAAAAAGGTATACATTTAGGGTTTAAAGGGCGCTATAATTAAACTTGGTCAACCAGGTGTTAACCATGTGTCTCAAGTAGATAAACCACTTAAGAGATGATTTTGAATGAGTTTAGGTAATTACCAAGGGTTTATATTTAGGCCTGAAGGGAAATGGAATAAGTGGAATAGATTGTAATTAAGGTGAACTTGGTTTGTAAGCTAGATTTGAACCATAAGAGGGTTTAGAATGGCCTTAGGATGGGTCTAAAACATTATACAAATGGTTTGGAGGCTCCTAAATTTTCACTTTGATTTTGTCTAGGTTGGAAACGATATACTTTCCCTAAATTTTCTATAGGTTAGGTTTGCAACAATAGTGATAAAAAAGGGAGTTTAGACCTCATTAAAATAATGAGGCCAACAATTATGAGCATAGTGTGTGACATGCATCATGGACAATGATTAGTGGCTACCCCTCAACTTTCTTTCTAAAGGGTGTCGAGTAGGGTCCTGTGTACCTTGAGTTCTCTGATAAGCCCATGAGATATGAGTCACCAACTATCTACTGAGAAACATAAAAAGCATATGTGAGTATATGAAAAGAAAGTTTGATTAGAGCAAATCTGAATATAATTTTGAAGGGTAAAATGTCTAATACATAACTGTTTAAATCTGATGCAACTTTGTTCAATAACTCATGAAAATAACATAACTTTATGAATTGTACTTATAAGAGCTTTTTGAAGATGACTACTCTTCTTAGTCAATCTTCCTTGAAAAAAGAACCGAATTTTTTACTCTTTATTTTAATGAAGCATATATATATATATATATATATATATATATATGTGTGTGTGTGTGTGTGAAATTCATTGTCTCATTCCTTCAATTATTCATTAAGAGCTACATAGTAAGGCTAATTTTGAAGGTTTTTAAATAAGATACTAAGCCGGCTTCGTTTGGGACGACTTTTTTAATGATGCTTAAAACAGCTTTTTAATACAAAAATTAAAATTTTTGGACTAAAAGGTTGCTTTTAATAAGCAGAAAGAAAGCTGTCCCAAATGAAACATAAATGAGGTTAATGCTGAAATTGCTCATAAAATAACAAGAGGGTTGTAATTACTGATCATTAAGTGGTCTCAAAGAAGATAGAAATGTTGAGATGGCATGTCATCTTTTCAAGAACAAAAAATGATAAAATTAAATTAGATTTTAGAGTCAATCAATTAATGCTAAAAAAATAAGCCTCACTCTGTCACCTTTGAATTTTGGATCAATTGTCTTCTGAGATTATTTCCATAATGACATTTTCTGATAGCCAACAAGTTACTTACGCATGACTATGATTAGAAGGTTATTTTTTAATTGAAACTATTATCTTTTCTATCAGATTATTATAAGAGATTTATCACGAAAGAACATCGATGAGATGGGCATGTTATATAAAACAGATAATGAGAAAAATGATTTTTCATTTTTATTGAAGGATAAAGATGTTCTTATAATAAAAGCTTGTAACACTGAGTAGTAAATTAAAAGGAGTTTACACCGAGGAATTTCTCAAGTCATTTTCTTGTTAAGGATGAATCAGATTGGGTCGCCAATAAAAGAGAAACAAAGGAACTGTTAGGATGTAAATTCGAAGCTAAAAGGAGCAAAGGGGAAGCCAACGTTGGGGGATCATTACCTTAGAGCGACGAAGAGGAGGATTTAGAGAAACTAATAAATAAAGAGAGGAATGAAACAAAAGCTTCAAAAAAACAAATTGAAGCTACATATTAAGAAGATGAAACATGAGGGGAATCAGTGGCGGAGCCAGAAATTTTATTCAAGGGGGGCACCATTTGGAACAGTTTTCTTACTGTTTTTTAAAGCATATAGGCACCCTTAACTCTTAGAAATAATTATCTACAGTTGTTGTGACTTCAAAGTTTTATTCCATGAATATTATCAACAAATTTATTTTAAAATATATATATATAGGCACATCAAATTTATTTTTTCTGCTTTATATTTTGAATATATCTAACGATTTAGACTTCGTTGGGGCAATTTTTTTACTATTTTTAAAACAATTTTTTAGCTAAAATTTTTTTCAACTAAAAATTTTGCACTAAAATATAGTAAGTCGTCCCAAGCAGTACCTTAAACTAACCAAAAATTTTATTCAGGGAGACCTAAATTAAAATAGTTCCATTTGTAGTCTAATCTGAAATATTAGAATATATTAAAATAGTTCTGTTTGTCTCCTCATTAACGGAGCCAAAAGGAGCTATAAGATCAAATTAAGAATGCAAATAACATGGCATGAGAAGAATCAGCCAAGAACAATAGGAAGTAGATGACAGAGAAAATGTAGGAGACAAACTGTACTTTCTATATGTAAAAGCTTAAATGATTATAGTGCTCAAAGTGAGTATATATAAATAGGATTTGGTACAGTTTGTTAAACATGTTTGTTAGAGATGGGACTTAATTTCTGCTACAGCTTATTTGCTAATAAAAATGAAGCAGCAACCAAGGAAATAACCTTCTATTTTTTTTTAGGGGGGCCACGTGCCCCCCCTTGCCCCCCCTCCCTCCGCCTTTGAGGGGAACCATCATCCAAAGAGTTACCCAAAGTTTTTATTGAATGGAAGGATCGATGTGGAGGGAAACGAATGCAATGGGCAATTCAAATTGGAGGGACGATCCAACACATGGGATGAGAAATTTTCAACTAAGGAGAGGCGAAGGCTAGTGCAAGAGATAGGGCCATTACATAGGATGAAAGATTATGAGGGTCCGTAGTACAATTAGATGTCTAGATGTCAAAATTGGTATGCATAAGAGATGAAAATATCAAAAACAATTATGCCTTGTTTTGTCATAATCTAGTGTAACACTAACATTGCCAGGTCACAAGTCTTGGATGAGAAAAATAGAGGGTTTTGTTAGGTAGTTGACAGCCAGCATAAAACTTATCGAATAATCATGTCATGAATTCTTTAATGTATTGTGTTAATGCTATGACATTCCTTTTTAACATGGCATAATAGACAAAAATGATTCATCTAGCTGACCCCACATAATGGGATTAAGGCTTGATATTGTTGTTATTATTGTTGTTGAACATATCTTCAATCATCACATTTCCCCTTATATATCAAAACTCACAATAAAATTCTAACATATTTTTTCAATTCCATCCAACTTTCAATATTTTGATCACAGCACATAAAAACATACGAGTTAATGCTATGATGTTCCCTTTTAACAGGGCATAATGGAGAAAAATGATTCATGTAGCCGATTCTGTAGTAGGATAAAGACTTAATTTTGTTATTGTTATTGTTGTTTGTCATACTCTAGTGTTCTAATTATTTGAATAGCATGCAATTAAGCATATTCCCGACATTCACTTTCATATCTTCAATCATCAAATCCCCACTTATATATCAAAACTCACAATAAAATTCTAACATTTTTTTCAATTCCATCCTTTTTTCAATATTTTGATCACAGCACATAAAAACATACGAGTTCAGTAGTTTATATTCTTAAAAGATGCAGTAAATTTGAAATTATCTATTACTGTAATGTCATGCACGTAATTCACCCAAGTGCATAATAATTATAATATTTATCAAACGCTTAACCAATAAATTGAAATTGTTTTAGTATTAACTATTTAATTGCCCAATCATATAAAAGTAATTAATTTCAATTAGTAAGTCTAATCATCAAATACCTTGTCAACTCACAGCCTTGTTCCAACCTCCATACATTTGCCGGCTCCATATCCATTGCCGGCTCCTTGACAAAGTCCCAAGCTCAACTCTTTCTTCCCAAACTCAATATAAATAAACTCCTCTTCAAGAAAAAAAAAAATATAAAAAAAAAAGCTCGACCTCTCCAAGCTCTCTCTCTCTCTCTCTCTCTCTCTCTCCCTCCTGCAAATTTATATATGCCAAAGAAGTTTAAAAGAGCTAAACTACTTCAAATATAGTATAAGGGAGATGAGGCAGGCAGGAATTTACTCTGGAATGATGTGGGGGAAGAAGCCATGTCCCAACTCTCTCCCACTGTCAAGAATAAAGAAAATCATGAAGCAATCAGGTGAAGATGTTAAGATGATATCATGTGAGGCTCCGTTGGTTTTTGCCAAGGCTTGTGAACTGTTCATACAGCAGCTCACGGTAAGGTCATACAAAGTCTCCGTTCAGGCTAAAAAAAGGACTTTGCAGAAGGATGATATCGTCACCGCGGTCAAAGCCACAGAGGTCTTCGACTTCCTTGTGGAAATGGTCACCGCTTCAAACGCCGATGATTGTATGAAGACGACGAGGGAGAGAACTTAAGGATTCATGCTGAAGGAGTAGAATCCATTAATTTTATTTTGATAAAAATGTTCTAATTAGCTTGTTTGTCATTTACTGGATGTATCAAAATTTGCATTTTCTTAATGATGCATGCAATTGAATGTTGAATTTTGCTTTTTAAGTTGCTTAAATTATAAATGCATAATATGATGTATGGTATTAAGGGAATAAGTTGTTGGATTTTGATTGTTTTATTAGAAGAGCGTTGGGATGATAATCCACGCATTTTAGCCCAACACTAAAAAGCTTCGTTTGGGTCAGCTTTTAGCCACAGTTTTTTTTTTTTTACTTTAAAAAAATGTTTGTAGAAAATACGTGTGGGTATTGGCTTAATTTTAACGTTGATGGCAGTACTGCAGGAGGTTAGTTTTTTTCAAAAAAAAAATTTGGGTACATCAAGTTTTAAGCGAGTTCAGTTTCATATTTATAAGAATTGTTAGTTTTATATGATAAAACTGTATATTTATCACGATGAGGCCTAAATACTGTTCTTGCTCACCATTAGTGTTTAGCTGTGCTAACGTTGGAGCAAAGCTAACATATAGGAACCTTAGGAAGAGGTATAGGGTTTTCAACGTTGACAAAACTAAAGTGGCTTAGGAACCTCCTTAACCATTTTCATGATGTGTTTGAGCCATTCCATGGTTAAAACATAGGCGAAACCCAAGTTGCTTATATTTACACTCAATGCCACTCAATGTGACATTTCATGTTTAATCTAAACCTAAGCCCTTGGGAATGAACTAAACCCATGTAAACTCATCTCCTTAGTGGTTTAACCAATTTTGGAACCCATGCTCTAGAGTTGGTTGATCAAGTGTGACCGTGGACTATTTAAGACTCTAAATTCATATAAATAACACTTCTTGGGCTAGTTCAAATCCTAAACCTTAGGATTGTGTCCCAAAGCTATCAAACATCACCATGAACATGTCTAAACCTAATAGAGCCAATGGTGGACTATGGTTGACTATGATTGAACAAGTCACCATATAAGCTTCATTTAGCCTAAATGACTATTTCAATGATTAAATCAATTTTAGTCTTTTGCATAACATCTTAAACATTTTACATTTTCATAACTCACCATTGGAGGCCTTGGTTCACTTTCGATCAATATGGTTGACCAAGTTGACCATATATAGCCCTTTTAACCCCATACACACATTACACTTGATTCAATCCAAATGGCATTATAACATGGCTTCCAAACCCATCCATAGCTTGCTCACATCCTAAACAGCCTACCTTGGCTAGCACAAGCCTTATGCTAGCTTGGGTAACCCAATCAAGCTAGCCTGAGTTAGTTTAAGTTGTGTAAAACCCATTCTAAATGAACTTAGCCCGCTCCAAGCTTGCCTATGTGACCCATTTCCTACATTGATTTTACTTAAACCTAGCCTAGCTAAATTGTAGTGAATGGTGGTCATCAATTGGCAAGAATACTCTAGACCTCATCACTTACGATGAGATGTTAATCTTAGAATTATGTTTGATTATATAAATGATATTGTCTAAAACCCTATTTTTATCCTTGAACACATTATAGGATATTCGGTTTGTTTTTCGAGCTGGTATGCTATTCTCAATAGAATATTCGATCACAAAAAGAGGAATTTCCCAAATCAAATATGTGTGGTTCTATTTTCCCACATTATTGCACTAAAGATTTTTTTTATTTTGAGTTTATGAACACTTGAAATTCTAAGTCAAATTCATGGCTAAGAACTTTAAATTTTCATGAAGGCTAGATAAGTCCTCAAATACACAAAAGAAGATTACATGATATTATAAACTTTTTGAAGACACTCACATATGAATTTGGGAACAATTGGAGCTAAGGATATGCAATTATCACTAAAATAAGGTTTAATGAGTTAATGTAATTACTTGAAATATATAGAACTATTGGCCTTGATATTGCACTCGTTAGATAGTGCTCTCTATCTTAAATCCATGGAAGGGCATTAAATAATTTGACCCACCGGATTATGAGCAATAATTTTTTAAAGTTTATGACTCCTATATAAATTAAATTCTCCTAAATATATCACTACATTTACGTAGTGGAAAACCGACTTAGCATGTTCTTTCCACGCAGTGCATGCTAGTTGGCAGCTTAGATACATGGTGGGACCCTATAATAATTCAGATCAAATGAGAACCATTTGATCTAAGAAAAATCAATATTTCTATTTTTATCAGCGTATTAGTAAAACTTAAGTTAAAGAGGCTTTAAAGAAAATGAAGGGTGGAAAAGCTGTTGGACTTGATGATATTCCAATAGAGGTGTGGAAATGCTTATGAGATGAATGAATTTCTTGGCTTACTAAACTTTTTAATACTATTTTGGAGACTAAAAAGATGCCAGATGAGTGGAGAATGAGTGTGTTAATTCCTATTTTGAAGAATAAAGGTGATGCACAAGATTGTGCGAATTATAGAGATATTAAGTTAATGTGACATACTTTAAAAATATCGGAGCGAGTTATGGAGCATAGGTTGCGGCATGATACTAATGTTTCTCAAAATCAATTTGGATTCATGCCGGGTAGGTCAACTATGGAAGCCATACATTTATTAAGAGGTTTGATGGAGAAATATAGAGCAAATAAGGAGGATCTACATATGATATTTATTGATTTAGAAAAAAAACATATGATAAAGTTTCAAGAGAAGTGCTATAAAGAGTTCTTGAAAAGAAAGGAGTCAATAATGCTTATATTTAAATCATTAAAGATATGTATGCAAGAGCTATTACCTGTGTTCAAACACAAGGTGGTTTGACCAAGTATTTCCCTATTTCGGTTGGGTTACATCAAAGATCAGCCTTAATCCCATATCTTTTTGCTTTAGTCATGGATGTTCTCACTAGACATTTTTAAGAGGATGTACCTTGGTGTATGCTTTTTGCTGATGATATTCTTCTTGTTGATAAGACTAGAGAGGGAGTTGAAGGTAAACTTGAATTATGGAGATCAATCTTAGAGTATAATGGTTTTCGCTTAAGTAGATCTAAAACGGAATATATGGAGTGCAATTTTAGTAGTAATAGACCTAGTGAAGGGATTGCGACTTTGGGCGATCAAGTCATTAATAAGAGTACACGTTTTAGATATCTTGGATCTATTGTTCAGAGTGATGGTAAAATAGACGGGGATATTATCAGCAGAATTAAAGTTGGATTGTTGAAGTGGAGGAATGCATCAGGCTTACTAATGATAGAAATGTACCCCTCAAACTTAAGGGAAAATTCTATAAGATGGTAGTGAGGCCTGCAATGCTTTATGTTGCCGAATGTTGGCCATTAAAAGAGAAGCATAATACTAAGTTAAGTGTGGCAGTGATGAGGATGCTCAGGTGGATGAGTGGCTTTACCCTTAGAGATAGGATACAAAATGAGCATATATGTGAAAAGGTTGGAGTAGCTCCAGTAGAAGATAAGATTAGAGAGAGTCACCTTAGATGGTTTGGTCACATAAAACGACGGCCTTCCGATGACCCAGTTAGGAGAGTAGAGGTATTTGATTTTACTTATGTTAAGAAAGGTAGGGGTAGACCCTAAAATTTTTGGTTAGAAAATATTAGGAATGGCCTTTCTTTATTATATTTAAACGAGAATTTGACTTTTAGTAGGACACAATAGAGAAAAAGGATTCATGTAGCCGACCCCACGTAGTGGGATAAAGGCTTGATGTTGTTGTTGTTGTTGTAGTAATAATTTTTTAGAGTATAATCTAAGGTCTAATATAAAGTAAAGGTGGTCAGACTCCACCAACAATAAGCCTGGATTTCTATCCCTACAAAAATGTAGATTTGAATATGATTATTTATTTTGGTCTTCAATATTTTAGCTTCTGAATTTTTTTTAAAATTTTAATGGACAATAAACTTAAAAGGAAGAAGAAATATTTTCTTTTGGAATGTATTAATGTATATAAATAATCATTTTTAAATTTTTTCAACTCTTGACAGTATACAACTCAATCTAACTTTAAAAGTATCTAACATATTTATATTTATATTTGCCTTTACATTTAAATTATTGCCTTGGTACATTCTACATTGTAGGAATATAAAAGAGCAGTTTATATATAAAAAAAAAAATACATATACAATGTAGTGTAAGTGTATACATAAAAGTAATCCAACCTAAGAGCCTACTCCAAATGTGCACCAATAAAAATGTAAACATAACATCCATAGTACAAAAAATAAACACACCAAATATGGGTATCCTATAGGCAAGGCACTCCACAATCACACCAAATCAATTCATAGGCCTCGCCTATACTAAAGTTGGTTTTTTCTAGCAAATCACCTAAGTGTGTGGATAAGCTTGTGTAGTTAGGATAGGTCCTAGGCTTTATTTATTTGAAGTTTTTTACAAATTAAATTTATTGATTTAAGTTCATTGAAGGTTGATTTGAATTCAAGTGTTTAGTAATTTAGAAGTTTTAGATTTATTTTAAGGGTGTTTTGATATTTGTTGTTGTTTAGATTTAGGTTTTAAAGAATATAACACACAAGAACTTCTAATTGTAAAAGTCATTGATTAGAAGGTCTAGGTTCATATTTGTAATGCTACCAATCCTCCCAGTTGGGGTAAATATGTTACATAGTGTATTTGCATTTTAATTAATTATTTTAGTCTTTAAAGTTTTCCAATCCAATATATCTTTTCCTTCCTAAAATGAGTCAAGCACAAGGGTATGAAACCTTCAATGTCAAAGTATTTTGTTATTAAATTTCAATTAACTTAATTCATTGATTATTGATTTATTAAATTTTGTAATTTAGTATTTACATTTTATCAATTCATTTTTGGTGTTATCACAACACACATGAGGACTAAAGCATCCTTAGGATATATAGCCCAATAGCCCGATGTATTCTAGCCTAAAAACTTTATTGATAGAGTGTTTACTATTTATCAATTACTAATTTATAAATTTTATGACTTACCATTTCTATTTGTT